TATAAAAAGAAAAAAAAGATACATTTTCAGTTTTAGATGATCAGAATAAAGCACTTATTTTTGTAGAAGTTTTTGAGGGAAGTCCAGGATTGCAAGTTAGGTACTGTCCTTTTTGGTGATTTTTGCCTGTTTACTTTTAAATCTGAAATTATTCTGACACATTTCTGTTAACTTGATTGTTGGGAGGAATTATATTCAACTGAATCAGTCAAAATAGGCATTTATCCAATCTGGGCAACATAGTGAGACCCCATCTTTATTTAAAAAAAATAGCCAGGTGCGGTAGTGTGCACCTGTAGTCCTAGCTACTTTGCAAACTGAAGTGGAAGGATCTCTTGAGCCTTGGAGGTTTTAGGCTGCAGTGACCCATGATCTTGCTACTGCACTGCAGCTGGATCGACAGAGGAAGACCTTGTGTGAAAAACACAAACAAAAGCAAACAACAACAAAACAAAATAGTCGTTTGTGTATAAAACTTTTATAGACTTTTTGGGCAGTATTTGTCAACATCTTTTTATAATTTTAGAACATTTATGTTTCTCAAAGTTTTCTCTTAGGGAGATACCTTGATATTAAGGAGGAAAGCATTAGAATTCATTGTTCAGCTTGGATTTGAAGAATGTTTGGAATTAATTTCTGGTTCATATTTTGGTTAAGAAAACAAGATCATGTTTCTACATTAGCATTTCGAACAGTTGATATCATTCCAGCAAAAATCATGCCAAATTAAATCTAGCATTTTTCTAATAATGTTTAAAATAGTTCTTGTAATGTTCGAGTCTTTTTTTATTTTCAGACGGAGTCTCGCACTGTTGCTCAGGCTGGAGTGCAGTGGCGCAATCTCGACTCACTGGAAGCTCCGCCTCCCGGGTTCACGCCATTCTCCTGCCTCAGCCTCCCGAGTAGCGGGGACTACAGGCGCCCGCCACCATGCCCGGCTAATTTTTTGTATTTTGTTTTAGTAGAGATGGGGTTTCACCGTGTTAGCCAGGATGATCTCGGTCTCCTGACCTCGTGATCCGCCTGCCTTGGCCTCCCAAAGTGCTGGGATTATAGGTGTGAGCCACCGCAGGAGTCCTTTTAATCAATTAATTGCTTTTTCTCTCTAATAATTGTAGACAGCTGAAGAGGGATCAATTTAAAAAAATTCAAGTTTACTTCAGTAATCATTCTAGATGACAGAATTATACTTTAAAATAGCTACATTGTATATTTAAGTACTAGAAACATCCAAGAAATAGGAGCCTACATTACATAAAAATATAAAATATAAAAAGCTTTATTATAAATAATGAGAATAATCAGTTGATACTCAATATAGAGAAGTCACTGTGCTTAAAATTGTAACTTTTAGTTCAAGAACTTTTATTGGGCCTAAGTTAAATACTGGTTTTTTTAAAAAGTGAGCTTTGACTTTGCATTTAAAAGTGATGAATATATCTATTTCCTAAGAATGAGGGGAAGTAAATAATTGGCAAACACAGGCTGAATACGGTTTTTTAAAAGTAACTTTTTCTTTTTGGTATAATTTCAGAATTACAGACAGGATGCAAAGATAGTAGAGAGTTCCCTTATAATCCTTACCCAGTTTCCCTTATTGTTATGTTATCACAGCATATTTGTCAAAATTAAGAAACCTTCATTGATGCATTACTGTTAAATTTTAAACATTAATTGAATTTCATGATACCTTTTTTCTGTACCATGATTCAAACCAGGATACCATGTTGCATTTAAAATAGTACTTTTGAAAAATAATTTATTTAATTTTTGAAACATATAAATAATTTGTTGTAAGCATCTGGGGAGTAAGAATTTTTTGTTTTGTTAGTATCTAGATTAGTACAGGTATACCTCAGAGATATTGTGGATTTGGTTCTATGCCATTGCAATAAAGCGAATATAGCAATAAAGCGAGTCACAGAAATTTTTTGTTTTGCCCAATGCATAAAAAGTTATGTTTGCACAATACCGTAGTTTAAGTGTCCAACAATATGTCTAAAAACACTATACATACCTTAATTAAAAGTACTTTATTGTTAAAAAATGCTAACAATCATCTGTACTTTTAGCAAGTCATAACTTTTTGCTGGTGGAGGGTCTTGACTCAGTATTGATGGTTGCTATCTGATCAGGGTGGTGGTTGCTAAAGGTTGGAGTGGCAGAGGCAGTTTCTCAAAATAAGACAGCAGTGAAGTGTGCCACATTAATTGACTCTTTCATGGAAGATTTCTCTGTAGCATGGGATGCTGTTTGACTGAATTTTACTCAGAGTAGGACTATTTTTGTTTGAGACAGAGTCTCTCTCTGTCACCTAGGCTGGAGTGTAGTGGTATGATTTCGGCTGACTGCAACCTCTGCCTCCCAGATTCAAGCAATTCTTGCACCTCAGCCTCCCGAGTAGCTGGGACTACAGGCATGCACCACCACGCTTGGCTAATTTTTGTATTTTCAGTAGAGATGGGGTTTTACCACATTGGCTAGGCTGGTGTCAAACTCCTGGCCTCAAGTAATCCACCTGACTTGGCCTCCCAAAGTGCTGGCAGTACATGCGTGAGCCACCGTGTCTGGCCTCAGAGTAGAACCTCTGTCGAAATTGAAGTCAGTCATTTTCAAACACTACTGCTACTTTATCGACTAAATATACAGAACATTCTAAATTCATTGTCATTTCAACAATGTTTTCAGCATCTTCACCACGAGTAGATTCCATCTTCAAAAATCACTTTATTTATTTATCCGTAAGAAGCAAGTCCTCTTCAGGCTCCATTTCTAAATCTAATTCTCTAGTAGTTACTTCCTCCACCTAAGTCTCGAACACCCCAAAGTCATCCGGGAGGGTTAAAATCAACTTCTTTCAAGCTCTTGTTAATGTGGATCGTTTGACCTCCTTCTATGAATCACGAATGTTCTTAATGGAATCTGGAATGGTGAACCCTTTCAAAAAAGTTTTTGATTTACTTTGCCTAGGAATCACTATCTATGGTGGCTATAGCCTTACAAAATGTATTTCTTAAATAATAAGACTTGAACTTCAACGTTACTCCTAATCCATGGACTGCAGAATGGATGTCATTTTAGCAGGCATGAAAAACAATATTCATCTCCTTGTATATCTCCATCAGAGGTGTAGGGTGACCAGGTGCATTGTCAGTGAGCAGTAATATTTTAAGAGGAGTCCTTTTTTTTTGAGCAGTAGGTTTCCATAGGCTTAAAATATTTAGTAAACCACGCCATAAACAGATGTACTGTCATTCAGTCATTTTTTTATTCCATTCATAGAGCACAAACAGAGTAGATTTAGCATGATTCTTAAGGGCCCTAGGATTTTCAGAATGGTAAATGGACTCTATCTTCAACTTACAGTTACCAGATATGTTAGCCCCTAACAAGAGCATCTGCCTGTCTTTTGAAGCTTTGAAGCCAAGCACTGACTTCTGTCTAGCTCAGATCTCATCTTCTTCCAGGAGAAGGCTCTTTGGTCTGTGTTGAAATTCTGTTGATTAGTGTAGCCACTTTTGTTAATTATCTTAGCCAGGTCTTCTGGGTAACTGTGTGCAGCTTCTACGTCAACTCTTGCTGTTTATCTTGCACTTTTATGGTATGGAGACGTCGTCTTTCCATAAGGCTCATGAACAGACCTCTGCTACTGTCAGACTTTTCTCCTGCAGCTTTCTTGTGTCTATTAGCCTACATGGAATTTAAGAGTTAGGGCTTTGCTCTGGATTCAGCTTTAGCTTAAGGGAATGTTGTGGCTGGTTTGATTGTCTATCCAGACCACTCAAAATTCCTCCATATCAACAGGCTGTTTTACTTCCTTATCACTTGTGTGTATGCTTTTAATTTCCTTCAAGACTTTTTCTTTTGCATTAATAACTGGGCCAACTGTTTGGCTCAAGATGCCTACCTTTCGGCTTGTCTTGGCTTTTACATCCCTTGTTCACTAAGTTTAATCATTTCTAGCTTTTGATTTAAAGTGAGAGACAGGGACTCTTCCTTTCACTTAAATACTTAGACCATTGTAATATTACTAATTAGCCTAATTTCAATATTGTCGTGTCTCAGGAAATAGGGAGGCTCAAGAAGGGAGAGGGGAATGGCTAGACAGTGGAGCAGTCAGAACACACACATTTATTAAGTTCTCAGTCTTAAATGGACATGTTCATGGTGCCCCAAAATAATTCCAATAGTACCATCAAAGATCACTGATTACAGATCACCATAACAGATAATAATAATGAAAAATTTTGAATTATTGGGAGAATTACCAAAATGTGACACAGAGACACAAAGTAAGCATGTGCTATTGGGAAAATGGTGCTGACAGACTTGATTAACGCGGGGTTGCTACAGACTTTCAATTGGTAAAAATTGCAGTATCTGTGAAGTGAAATAAAGCAGAGTGCAATACAATGAGGTTTGCCCCTACTTCTTATCTAGCTGGCCTTCAAAAAGTATCTGTTGCATGATTGAATGAGTCTATGAGATTTAGTAGGAAACATATTTTGAAAAGAATATCCTTCATTCTATTTCCTTCATAGGAACTAGAAAGAGCCTATTTTAGCTTTTTGCATTTCATCACCACTTTCTTTTTTATTTCAAATAGTGAGAAGTCTTGGAAATGACTGAAACTACACATTGTTGAATGTTTTAGTGAATATAAAATGAACTGAGGTTATACTCTATGTAAATTTTTGGCAGAATACATGAATTATTTTATGAGTATGGGACTGTTATTGCACATAGCTTTCACTTTTTAAAACAATATTAAGGAGTTTAAAAAGTATTTAAATTCTCTATATATGTTGAGACTAGCATATTCAACCTTTATACCATAGATAATCTGTTACAGCTGTTTTTGTTGCACCTGCTTTCCTGCTTAATAATTAAATTTCCTGAATCTTAAAATTGGCCTTGTTTTAATCAATTAATCATAACAATGACACTTTATTGCTCTTTAATACTAATTTTGATTTACTTAATATTCTTATATTTCTTAGCTCACAGAAATGCAAGCTGAGAGTAGTTATTACAGTCCACAGAAAGTAAAATCTAAAGAAGTATTGTGTTGGGAACAAGAAGGAACTACAGTTGAGGTAATCTTTCAATATTGAACCTGTATTTTTAAATATTATGTTCTTTGTTTAATATTTTATAAGTATGTGTTTTTATTAGATGTAGTATATTTAAAAATACAAGGAAGATGTTTCTTATTTTAATAGAGTTTACTATCCCTTAGATAGTATAAATAAATAGTATAGAATAAATTTAGAAATGACATAATTCTAAAGATGTTTAACTAATTTAGAGATTCTAAGAGGAAATCCTCTAACATTTTTATTAAATTCAATTTCTTAGTTCTAATATTTCCTTTCCTCTTATAGGCCCTTATGATGGGAGAACCTTTCTTTGATTGCCAGATTGGGTTTGTTGGTTGCAGAGCCATGTGCCTTAAAGGAATTATGGGTGTTAAAGATTTTGAAGAGAATATGAATAGAAGTGAAACTGTAAGTCCCTTACCTCCACCCTTTTTTGGATAGGATATAGGAATAATTAAGTGCTTATTGAAGTGTTTAACCATATGATATCTGTTAGACTATATATATCTCAGGCTTGAGAGAGGAGCTTTACTATTTCTCCCTGTGTTTCCCCTGCAAGAAATTATACAGCTCAGGGGAGTTTAGAAAGTTGGTAGCACCTAACACCCGGACAGTAGTTCCAACTACTTTCTAATTCATGAATGTTTCTTCTTTTTTGTTTATGGCAGTTATTTGGAGTTTCCTTTGGTTTGTTAAAATATTCTTAGCCAAAATAGTCAATGAAATGGAGTAGCAGCATTTCTTATCTTTCTGTTTTAGTGATTTCTTTTGACTGGTAAATGGGCATCATAAAATCAAGGTTTTATTTTGTTTAACAGGCTAATGGTTTTTCTTCATGTTATAAATTTTGCATTTGTTTTCAGGAAGCCTGTTTCTTCATTTGTGGTGAAAATTTGAGTACTAAAGGTTTCACATACCTTACAAATTCATTGTTTGATTACCGAAGCCCAGAAAATAATGGTACTCGTGCAGAGTTTATCTTGGATTCAACTCATCATAAGGTCAGAGAATATATATTTGAACCAAATTCTACGCTATGTTTGGGTGGACATGTTGTGTGAATACTTGTGATTTCTAGCTTTCTTTTCAAATAATACCTTCTGAATGCTAATTGTTTATTAAAACATTTAGAGTGCATTTATACAGCGTGTACATGTAGAAATGTTTGAGGAGTGCACAGAGATCTTTACTTTTATTTAGTATGTAAACATATTTTGCTTATTTATGCCCTGCTTCAAAAATAATCATGGAAGAAACATGTTGAATTACCGCTGTTAATTTTTGTTACTTTTAATATGTGAGATTGATGGGAAGAAATGAGAAATTTACCCTTATACTATGTATGTTTCTTAGTATTTTTTAAATGTAAGAATATATTAATATGTTTATGGAATATTAATACATTTATGAAATCAGTTAAAAATTCAGATAATTACCTGAAGATTAGTGCAATAGGATAATTTACATTTTACTCCTTTTTACCAAGATTTCCTTTCATTGTTAAAATACTTAATGTTGACTTGCATAGTTGACATACATTTAGAATATTTTAGTATATCTTTAGTGTTTGAATTGTTTCATGTAAGTGTATTGAAGTATTTAAGGATTAATTCTACTTGAGAGTATACATTATTAGACAGTTTAGTGATAGTGATAAAGGTCAGGAGTGTACTATCTCGTCTATTGTAGTTATTTATTAACTAGATGTGATTAATAAAGTGGTCAAAATGCCTCATAAAATTATGGATGTGCTTTTTGTGTGGTCTATAATAGATGTAATATTACCTTTCTTAGAAGTAAATTCTTAGAATAACCTCTGTTCTTTTGGTAATCCTTTCTGTTGTTATACATTCTATATAAGGGTATGTGTCTAACCTATCAAGCTTTAAGCTCAAAAGTTTCTTTTATACAATGTTTGTTCTGTTTGCATTGCTTCGTTGACAGGAGACATACACTGAGATAGCTGGAATGCAACGGTTTGGGGCTTTTTATATGGATTACCTGTATACAATGGAGAACACTAGTGGCAAAGGTATTGGCTTCTTTCCTTTATGTTTGTCATTTCTTGAACAACTGAAACAAAGCCTTCCTCAGAATCAGTTCGTCCTTGACTGGTTGTACTCTGCTACATAAGATTTACCTCTAGTGCTTTGAGGAGTGGTTTAATTTTAGCGTCACGTTAGAATTGTCTTAGATTCTTGTCATTTCAAATCCATTCTTTATATAGCTGATTGAAGACATTTTATATAACCTATTAGAATTGGTTCTCATATGTATCATATATTATGATTCTGATATATCAAATTTTATATTACATTACATTTTTAAAAAGAATAAACCTTTTCTATTCTAAATACATTTTGAAGGTGGTACTAATTTTTAATTAAAAAGAATGTGTTGTATCAATCAGAAAAATAGAAAATCTTCCAGAGACTTTAGATGCATAGATTGTGTTATTTTATTATGTATCTTATTATTGTTTTATTTTATATTTTTTGGAAACAAATGACATTTAAAAAATTTCTCCTTTTTTTTTTTTTTTACTTCTATATCAACATATAATGTTGTACTTACTATTTCAGTCTTTTTTATGTTGAAAAGTTAGTGAAGATAGGTTCACTTTTTTTTTTGGTGAATTTTTCATGTTTTTAAAAAATGGTTTCAGTATATTAGGTGATATGTTAGGTACAGATGAATACAGTGAAAACCAAAACATTTCCTAAGGAGCCAATAGGTGGTGTTGAACTAGGCATTTAAGTAAATGATTATAATTTAGTTTGCTAAGAAGAGTAATATAGAGAACTAGAAGAAGTGTGGGTAAAAAAAAAAAATGACAGCTTTTGCTTGAGAGGTCGAAACTTCTCAGAGTTGATCTTGAAGTAAATTTGTTTTTGATGAGGAAAGAAGGAAAGAGCAGTAATTTTCTGGCTTCTGCTTTTGGAATGGTTTCTAGATGTTGATGTTTTCGTCGGTCAATCCTTAATTTCTTTCCCTAAACTTTCTCCCAAGGTAATTTCATTCTTTTCCATGGATTTAAGTACTTTCCATATGTTGTTGATACCCAGATTTGCATTTTCTAGTCCAAACTTCTCTAAGATTCAGAATTAAATATCCAATGCATACTTGACGTTTTTACCTCTGTGTCTGTCTCGGGTATCTCAAAACTGATTTTGTCCAAAATTGAGTTATTAATAAATATTCCTGTGACCACTTACTACCTCTGCTTCTCTATTTTTAGGCTTCTCTTCTTGGAAAATTGTACTATCATCTTCTTGTTGCTCAAGCCAGAAACCTGGGAGTCATCATGACACACTTTTTCTTTCGCTCCTAGCCATCTGGTCCACAGATGATAACAGTGGTATCACTGTTACCATATGGACTAGCATCTAGTTCATAGGTACCATCATCTCTAGGTTCTAATAGCCTTTTTTTTTCTTTTTTTTTGAGACGGAGTCTTGCTCTGTCGCCCAGGCTGGAGTGCTGTGGCCGGATCTCAGCTCACTCCAAGCTCTGCCTCCCGGGTTTACGCCATTCTCCTGCCTCAGCCTCCCGAGTAGCTGAGACTACAGACGCCCGCCACCTCGCCCGGCTAGTTTTTTGTATTTTTTAGTAGAGACGGGGTTTCACCGTGTTAGCCAGGATGGTCTCGATCTCCTGACCTCGTGATCCACCTGTCTTGGCCTCCCAAAGTGCTGGGATTACAGGCCTGAGCCACCGCGCCCGGCCCTTTTTTTTTTTTTTTTTTTTTTTTTAACAGAGTTTTGCTCTGTTGCTCAGAGTGCAGTGGCATGATCTCGGCTCACTGCAACCTCTGCCTCCTGGGTTCAAGCGATTCTCATGCCTCAGCCTCCTAAGTGGCTGGGACTACAGGCATGTGCTGCCATGCCTGGCTAATTTTTGTATTTTTAGTTGAGACGGGGTTTTGCCATGTTGGCCAGGCTGGACTTGAACTCCTAATCTCAAGTGATCCGTCCACCTTGGCTTCCCAAAGTGCTGGGATTACAGGCATGAGCCACCACACCCAGTTAGGTTCTAAAGCTTTCTTACTGGTCTTCCTGCTTTCACTGTAGTCCTATAGTTTCTACTGCAATCACAGGATTTAATTCTCTGCTGACAATTTTCATGGGCCTGACATTGATTTATTTAAAAACAAAATTTAAATAGTTTACTAGATTCTGGTCTTGAGTTACTTGGTGGATAGTGATAACTATTAAGAAAGCTAGATAAGAAAGGAAAATTTTCGGAGGGAAAGATGAGTTTTGACATAACTGTGGGCATTGAAGTGTGAATATTCCTTAGCTAATTATATATATGAAAGTGCAACTCAGAAGTCTTATGTTCTAATAGTGTTGCAAATTATTATAGTGTTGTAGTTGCCACTTGTAAGCTGGTAGGTTTCCTCTTGTTCAATATAATGTCTTATGCATGTGCTGTGGATTCCATATCTTGTGAGGAGGTGGAATATCTAGTAGTCACCTTTCAAGCAAAGGAAACCTAGCACAGAACATCTTTATTTGTATATATGCCTCTCCTGCAGTTTTTAAAAGATAGAAACATGATTTATGTTTGTTAGATTGTTTATATATTACTTCTGATAAGCCAGTAGTTTGTTAACTTTGGGGTTTTTCATATTTTTCACTTCCATGAATAGTATACAGTGTTACAGATATCATAGTCCTTAACTTTTAAAACAAAATATTGGAATATTACACATGTACAGAACAGCAAAGAATTTAAAACTGAACACCTGTGTATTTTCCATGCACACCAAGAAATAGGACGTTGTTAGTATCCAGTAAGCCTCCTATGTGTTTCTTTTCTACCACACTCTTCCTCCTTTACTGGAGGAGACTGCTGTTTTGAGATTTGTGAGAACCACTGTCTTGCTTTTGGTTTGCCACTTATGCATCTACTTTCTTAATTTTGCAAGCTGAGTTTTTTTGGGGGGGAGAGGGTGGAAACAATAAAATAATAAAATTCCACTGTTAATTTGTGAATGTCAAATATACTTTAAAATATGTTAATTCATTCAAATAATTGTTAATTTATTGCTTGCTTTTTAGGTAACTGTGTTTATATGTTTATGTTTCTCATTATGAATCCATATTTACTTATAGGATGATGATGATCATGGTGATAATAATAGCTAATTTTTATTGATTTTAAATGTAAGACTCTGTTCTAAGTGTTTTACAGTATTAGCTTATTTAATTCTCATATCCCTATAAGGTAGGTAAAATTATCCCCATTTAAAGATGAGGAAATAGCAAACCCAATACAAGTAAAGTAACAAGGACCAAGGTCATGCATAGTATGTGGGATTTGAACCCAACCTATCCAGCTCTGGAGCCTACATTCATAACTACTCTGTTGATATTTCTTTCTTTCTTTTTTTCTTTTTTTTTTTGAGACCGAGTCTTGCTCTGTTGCCCAGGCTGGAGTGCAGTGGTGCAATCTCTGCTCACTGCAAGCTCCGCCTCCCAGGTTCATGCCATTCTTCTGCCTCAGCCTCCCAAGTAGCTGGGATTACAGGCACCCCCTACCATGCCCGGCTAACTTTTTGTATTTTTAGTAAAGATGGGGTTTCTCCGTGTTAGCCAGGATGGTCTCGATCTCCTGACCTCATGATCCGCCCGCTTTGGACTCCCAAAGTGCTGGGATTACAGGCGTGAGCCACTGTGCCCAGCCTTCTGTTGATATTTCTTTCTTTCTTGGCTTACCTGAAACGAGAAATTCGTAGAATTTTAAGTATTAATGAACTAGGAAAAGCAGTGAGTTCCTATAAGAGGATACTTGTAAATACTTAAAAAAAAACTTTATGTAAAACTCTTGTTTTTTTGTGACAACTTTTTTTTTTGTTTCTATGGTCTACATTATCAAAAAGTGCCCTAAATTTTATCTAAGTAAATATCTAAACACATACTGAGTCAATATTTTTACAAAGTTTGTAGTGAATCCTGATAGTTTGAAGGTGGATTTGATTTTGTATATTTTAAGTAAGTTCATGATAGTATTCTAATTAATGTAAGAAACTAGTCCAGGCACGGTGGCTCACACCTGTAATCCCAGCACTTTGGGAGGCTGAGGTGGGCAGACCACGAGCTCAGGAGTTTGAGACCAGCTTGGACAACATGGTGAAACCCCTTCTCTACTAAAAATACAAAAATTAGTTGGGGATGGTGGCATGTGCCTGTAATCCCAGCTACTTGGGAGGCTGAGGCAAGAGAATCACTTGAAACTGTAAGGTGGAGATTGCAGTGAGCTGAGATCACACCACTGCACTGTAGCCTGGGCAACAAGAGTGAAACTCCGTCTCAAATTAAAAAAAAAAAAAAGAAAGAAAAGAAACTAGTAAATACAGTAATAAAGGAAGCTTATATTATTTATTTTTCTTGTAATAAATGATATAATAGTACCTTGTTCACATTATACTATGGCATATAAATAAAGATTAAGTTTCCTGTGCTACTATTTCACATTGATGATAAGCTGCTGCTGCTGCTGCTGCTTCTCTTCTTCTCCTCCTTCTCCTCCTCCTTTCTTCTTGCTGCTGCTGCTGCTTCCTCTCCCTCCTCCCCTTTCTCCCCTTCCTCCCCTTCCCCCCCTCCCCTTTCTCCCCTTCCTCCTCTTCCCCCTCCTCCCCCTCCTTCTTCCCTTCCTCTTCCTCCTCCTCCTCCTTATTCTCTGTGAGTATACTTTATGTGGTCATTTTTGTTTACAACTGAAACTCTGGAAAAATCAACATCTTTTCCCCATGAGCTTCTTATAGACACCAGTAAAAGTTTGAACCTTGTGTTCCACAAGATAAGCATCTTCTGACAATTATTTTATTTTATTTTTTTATGGTACTTGAAAGCAAGTGATGTTTTAAAAACTAAATTGAAATATTTGTTCTTAATATAATTATGTAAATATTTGTTGTTGCAATGACTACCTTTTTAGTCTTTTCTATTTAAGGGGGTTATTACAGATGTTATGGACCCTAAAGTAGATAGCTGAAATTGTAATGTACAATAGGAAGATTTTAGAGATAACCAATTTTAGAGATACAATAGGAGATAAATCTGAAACAATTAAGTTATTGAATTGAAGGGCAAGAGTTGAGAGAGTCTTGACTCTTAATAAGAGCAGCCAAACATTCAGGGAGCTGGATTGGCCAGATGCATGAAAGGTGGGCACAAGTAAATAGCTGAAAATATATGGCTAAAAGCCAGTTATGTTTTTACATTTCAGACAAGCCATTGGTATCTAAATTTAAACTGCATTATATTCAGTTTTCATTATGGGGGGCATTGGCCTCTATTATTTTAGAGACAATTTGGTATCTAAGAGTCTTTTTATATAGTGACATTGTTTAGGAAGCCTGTTATCCCTAAAGGACCTATAGCAGGGCATTTTTCTTGCTTTTTGAATATTTTGATTTGTAACCGAAGTTCTTCTACCTTTAAGTTACCTCATTCTGTCTTACATGTAACTCTAGAAATGTAATGGTTTCAGCTATGAAAAGTAATGGTTTTGATGTGAATTGTAAGTTATTTATACCTAATTCCTAATGTGTCAGTATTGATCATACATCTTTTAAAATATGTATAAGATTAACATTGTATGTTTTATTTGATGTGACATTTAAATCTGTGGGCTTACAGAGTTTTAGTTGTATTACGTAGTCAAACTTTAAAATAATCTTTACACTGAGTCATCTGGTTAAAAATATGTGAGTAATAAATCTAATTAAATTTTGGCTGGGCACGGTGGCTCACGCCTGTAATCCCAACACTTTGGGAGGCCGAGGCGGGTGGATCACGAGGTCAGGAGATCGAGACCATCCTGGCTAACATGGTGAAACCCCGTCTCTACTAAAAATACAAAAAAAAAAATTAGCTGGGTGTGGTGGCGGGCGCCTGTAGTCCCAGCTACTAGGGAGGCTGAGGCAGGAGAATGGCGTGAACCCGGGAGGTGGAGCTTGCAGTGAGCTGAGATGATGCCACACTGCACTCGAGCCTGGGCGACTGAGACTCTGTCTCAAAAAAAAAAAAAAAATCTAATTAATTTTTGTTCATGTGATGAAGACTAAAGATTGAACTATACTCTTTTGCATGAAATAATGGAAATGTATTTTTGTATAAAAGTATGAGAAGATATAGATATAAAAGTTTTGTGTATAAATAGGCCTTTCTAGTTTCTAAAGGTAATTAAATCCTGGAAAAATCTTTCTTCTTTTTGTCTGAATACACAAAATGCATTATAAATTAAAAATCATTTTTATCACTTATAATAATGGATTCATGTGTACAAAAAAACTCTCATATAAGAGGTTGTACATGTTAGATAATGACACATGCCTATAGGTGGGGCTAATATCTTATTTAGAAAACAGTGTATGAGGAGATGGGGAATCCAGGAAGTAGGATTCTGTACCATGGAACATTGCCATAATGAATTTATTCTAGGAAAAGTTCAAAGCATGTAATACCTACTGTTCATTTCCATGGTCATTATAAAACTCTTAAGGCACCCTGTGATCATGTTACTTAAATAACCCAATTTTCAATAGACTTTGTAAGGTAAATTAGTAAAATGGAGTTTCCTCCAAAGTATACCCTCTCAGTCAATGCATGTTGTGTATAGAATTACTAGATACAAGTCAATTAGGTTTTGCAGAATAATTTTCTAAGAATGACAGTTTTGATTTTATATTGCTCGTTATAATATTAAATAACAGGAATAACTTTTAATTTAATGAATTGCTTTTTATCAGTAATTTATTATATGCATAAAGAAATACACATCGGCCGGGCTGTCTGTATGCAGCTGATTGGGAATTTGTTTTAAGGCTTTAGGCTATAAGCCATAAAAATGAGATAAGAGTGATCTTAAAATATATACTTGGTATATCCAATTGATGCTTAAAATATAAATTTTGACTTCTTTTAGGTTCCACAAATCAACAAGACTTTTCTTCAGGGAAAAGTGAAGATTTGGGAACAGTTCAGGAGAAGTCCACCAAAAGCCTTGTTATAGGTCCTCTTGATTTTCGTTTGGATAGCAGTGCAGTGCATAGGATTTTGAAAATGATTGTGTGTGCCTTGGAACATGAATACGAACCATATAGCAGGCTAAAATCAGGTTTGTTTCTGGATTAATTCTGAATCTATTGCCATTTGTTTTGAATAATTATATAATGCAATTTGTGTTGTCTTGCTAACTTTACCTTTTTAGTGTAAGTTGCCTGTTTGCAAGGACTTTGATATATGTAGCTGTTTATTTAAGGAATAAACTTGTGTGTAGAAGTTGGAGAGGTCAAGATTTGAAAGTTATTGCACAAGTACTTTATTTGCCAGTATGTGTCAGTATTTTATTGCTATACCTTTTTTAAACTTTTTCTAGTGGATACTTGTAAATATGACTATTTTGTTTTCACATTAATGGATTGTAAGGAGCCAGATATAAAGTTGGGCTCTAAACACACAAATTTAACATTCAAGAAAACTTAGGCACTACTGGTTTTAAAAAAATTGCTGTACAACTAATTTTTTCTACATGGTAGATAGCTGTGGTTGTCATCGTTTCATAAAATACAAATTCCTTTTTAAAGAAGTAAAGCAATTCTAGAGTAGAGCATAATAGTGTAATGAGGAAGTATAACATAATGAAGAACTCACCCTGTGGAGTCAGACTATGGTTTAAAATTTGACCCTCACTTCTTAGTATCCTTAAGAAATTTAATTAACATCTTTGATATTTCATTTCTCTGTCTCCATAGTAAGTTTAGTTATTGTGACAGAGATGGCTAATTGTCTCCTCAATATCCAGTTTTTTTTCACAGTAATAGAAATTTCTGTAACAGAAATAAAGACTATACATTTAAGGGATAGTCATATGACTAGGTTCTGTCTACTGGGATGGGAGCAGAACTTTATGTGATGTTTTGGGCCATGACTTTAAAAGCAAAAGAGCATGCCTGCCTTTTCTTCTCTTCTTTCTTCTGGCTGGAAAGTGAATACAATGATATGGGCTGGACCTGCCATTTTAGATTCTGAAATTAAAGCTGCATACTGAGGATGATAGATTAGCAAGATAAAAAGCACCTAGGTCCTCAGTACTGTGATGGCACCATGTCAGCCCTGGATCCTTTAGACTCAGATTGTTTCACAAAAGAAATAAGGGCTGAGCATGGTCTCTCATATCTGTAATCCCAGTAGTTAGGGAGGCCAAGGCGGGAGGATTGCTCGAGCCCAGGAGTTTGAGACCATCTTGGACAACATGGCAAGACCCTGTCTCTACAAAAGATTAAAAAAAAAAAAAATTAGCTGGGTGTGGTGGCATGAGCCTGTGGTCCCTGGGCCGAGGAGGGAGGATTGCTTGAGCCTGAAAGGTTGAGGCTGCAGTGAGCTGTGATTGTGCCACTGTGCTCCAGCCTGGCCAACACAAGACCCTGTCTCAAAAAAAAAAAAAAAAAAAGCTTCTCTTTTTGTTAAAATTTCTATTACTTTACTTTTGTCCCAGCAACTTTACTGTTATCTTAAATGATACACTGATAGGATCTACTTCCAATGATTGTTCTGAGCACTAAATGAGATAGTGCATGTAAAAGCACTTAACACAGTGTACAGTAAGTGCTTGACACATTCATGCATTCGTTTATTGTACCTTACTTGAATGCCTACCCTGTGCCAGATGTTCTTTATGTGCTAGGATAGTATAGCAAACAAGACATACAAAGCCTTTGGTCTCATGGAGCTTATATCCTCACGGGGTAGACAAATAGTAAACAAGTAAAAATATCATTTCAGTCATTGATAAATACTAGAGAAGAAAAATAAAAAAGTTTGAGGAAGAGTGCTTGAAACAGAAGGAGGGGAGAGCTGTTTTAGTAGGGACTTTAGGAAAGTTTTCTCTGGAGAGTTTATATGTGAGCTAACTTGTGAATGATGTAAGGGAGTGAATCATGCATGTATTTGTGAAAAGAGCGTTTTATGCAGACAAGTGCAAGAGCCTTGAGGTAGGAACAGTTTTGGCAGTATACAGGGATACAAACAGACTAGAATAGCTGAAGCACAATAAATGTTTGTAAGTCATAGAAGTAGACATCAATCACCCTGTCGGGTTTTAGGGACCACGTAGTCTGGATTTTATTCTAAATGTGATGGGAAGTCATTGGTAAGTTTAACTTATTATTTTAATATTAACTTCTTATTAACTTATTATTTTAATAGTAAATAGTATGGTTGGCATATGTTTTCATTTAAAAATTTTAGATTTTCCTAGTTTTACTTGTACTCATTTGTGTGTATGTGTATTAAGTTGTATACAATTTCATCACCTTTGTAGGTTTGTGTGTTCACTACCATGGTCAAGAAAGTGAGCAGTTCCAATACCACAAGGATCTGGCATGTTGCTCTCTTACAACCACACCCACTTCCCTACCATGTTCCTTTCTCCTCCCTCTTTTCCAGGGGCTAGGGATAACATTTCTAAAATTTTATCATTTCAAAAATGTTAAATAAGTGAAATCATACAGTATGTAAGCTTTTGAGGTTGACTTATTTTGCTGAGCATAATTCTCTGGAGACTCATTCAAGTTGTTGCATGTATCAGTAGTTTGTTTCTTTTCCAGCTGAGTAGTATTCCCTTGTATACATATACTACAGTTTGTTAATTCCCTCACTTATGGAAGAATATTTGGGATTACTCTAGTTTGGGGCTATTACAAGTAATGCTGCTCTGAACAGTTGTGTAGTGGTTTTTGTGTGAACATTTCTTCAGGATAAATGCCCAGGTGTGCAATTGCTGGGTGATAGGGTAGTTGCATGTTTATTATTTTTTTTTCAAGAAACTACCAGGCTGTTTTCAGGAGTGGCCATACCATTTTACATCCCTATCCAATGATGACTGTGTGATCCAGCTTCTTTACATCTTCCCAGCATTTTGTTTTGTCACTGTTTTTTATTTTAGCCATTCTGATAGATGTGTAGTTTTAATTAGCAATCTGCCATCTCATTGTGGTTTTAAAGTTGTGTTTCCTTATTGGCTGATGATGTTGAACATCTTTTTATGTGCTTATTTGCCATTTTTATTTCTTCAGTGTACTGCATATGTCTTTTGCTCATTTAAAAAATTGGGTTAATCTAAAAGTTTTAATGTTTTTCATTTTATGCTGAAGTATGTCATCACTTTGAATTAATTTTTTACTTAAGGAGTGAGGTTTAGATAGGGGTTTATTTATGTGTCTTTGAATTTTCAGTTGCACCAGCACCATCCTTTCTTTACTGAACTGGTTTTGTACCTTTGTCAAAAATCAATTGAGCATATTTGTGTGGGTCTGTTTCTCAGTCCTCTAGTTTGTTTTCAGTTAGTAGACCTATGATCTTTCCCACTGTCAGTACCATGCTGACTTAATTACTGTAACTCTGTGGTAAACCTTTATATTGGAGGGAGAAGTTACTCATTTTGGTTTTGAAGGAACGTTTGCTTAGGTTAGAAATAACCTCATTATAACTTTCATTTACATGTATCTCTAATGGAATGTTGGGTTGGCTGTTTCGTTTTGTTTTTGTTTTGAGATGGGGTCTCGCTTTGTCAACGAGGCTGGAATACAGTGGTGTGATCATGGCTCACTGTAGCCTTGATATCCTAAAATCCAGTGAGTCTCCTGCCTCAGCCTCCTGAGTTTCTGGGACCATAGATGTGCACCTCCATGCCCAGCTAATCTTTTTTTTTTGTAGAGATGAAGTCTTACTATGTTGCCCAGGCTTATCTTGAACTCCTGGGCTCAAATAATGCTGCCTTGGCCTCCCAAAGCCCTGGGATTATAGGCATGAACCACTGTGCTGGCCCTTGATTCTTTTAATATAGATCTACTATTTATTTTTCTCATGTAAAAGTCCAAGTTGGTCATTATTCCAGGGAGACTGTTTTATGGGATTGTCTTAGACCCAGATTCCTTCTGTTTTATTGTTCTGCCAACCCCAGAGATATGCCATATATACATGGTCAATTATTGGGTCACCATTACAGTGTGTAATTTTAATCAGGAGGAAGGGGGAACAAGAGCATAAAGGAAGGTATGTAGTTTTATTTATTTATTTATTTATTTAAGAAGTAGTCTTGCTCTGTTGCCCGGGCTGGAGTGCAGTGGCACGATCTCGGCTCACTGCAACCTCTGTCTCCCGGGTTCAAGACATTCTCCTGCCTCAGCCTCCTGAGTAGCTGGGATTACAGGCGGCTGCCACCATGCCCAGCTAATTTTTGTATTTTTAGTACAGATGGGATTTCACCATGTTGGCCAGGCTGCTCTTGAACTCCTGACCTCAAGTGATCCACCCACCTCGGCCTCCCAAAGTGCAGGGATTACAGACGTGAACCATCGCGCCTGGTCTAGTCTCATTTTAAGGACATGGCATTCTCATCCCATTGACCAAAATAGTGACATGTCCCTGCACCTAACTGCAAGGTAATCTCTAGGAGGAGTCCATATACCTGACTCGAATCCAGAGGGTTTTATTGCTAAATGAAGAAGGAGAAAATGAATACTCCTGGGCAATTAGCAATCTCTGCCACAGTAGATGTATTCTGTGTGTGTGTGTGTGTAATCTGTATTTGAAGTTTTGAAGCAGTCTGTCATCTCAAAAATGTGATGTATATAAAGAACCTTCTAACTGACTTTATTTTAATATACGTGCAGTCCTCACTTGCCGTGATGGCTTGGGACTATAAAAAGATCGTGCAAAGTGATCTTTATCAGTGTGAAGAATTAAGTTGTTGCACAATCTTTAGAAATTCTTGTCAAAACATTAAACATTCTCTTACTGTTGGTTATAAATGTATAGAGAAATGAAAAAATTTTAAAAGGAATATTCAAAATTAAGCCATTTTATTTCTTTGAATAAACTTAAGAATTGTTCGAACAGTTTTTTTCTCCTTCTTGTATAACTTACAATATGACATGTCTCTCTTATGCCACCTTAGCAAATTTTCATACTCCTTTCTACGTTTGGATAATATTCTAACATTTTATCCTACACAGTCTGTGAGGGATTTCTCTGTTGCCCAGGCTGAAGTGCAGTGGCACAGTATTGACTCATGCAATCTCTGCCTCCTGGGTTCAAATGATTCTCCTGCCTCAGCCTCCTGAGGAGCTGGGATTATAGGTGTGCTTACCTGGCTAATTTTTTTTTTTTTTTTAGTAGAGATGGGGAATCGCCATGTTGGCCAGACTTGTCTTGAACTTCTGACCTCAGGTGATCCGTCCAAGGTCCACCTTGGCCTCCCAAAGTACTGGGATTACAGGCGTAAGCCACTGTGTCCAGCCGAATTTTGCAAACTTAGCCACATCTATGTAACTAACTGTTTAAGAAACAGAAACTTACCAGCACTTCAGAAGTCTCCATTGTGTCCTCTTCTGGTTACTATTCTGACCTCAGGAGTAAACCACTGGCTGGGCATGGTGGCTCACTTTAAAGAAGTTTGCTGACCTTTGCTCTGTGTGCTTGCTGTATGCTTAGTATTCTCCAGTCTTTTTCATTTTAGCCATTCTAGTAGGTATGTAGTGCTATCACACTGTGACGTGACTTGCAATTACCTGATGTCTAATGATATCGAGTGCCTCAATGCAGGCACATACTTCTTTTTTTTTTGAGACGAAGTCTTACTCTGTCGCCCAGGCTGGAGTGCAATAGTGCGATCTACACTAGTAGGATGCCTTCCCCTACTTATTATACTTATTTATACCCCAAATACCCTAGGCTCATTGAGCACCAGCTTTAGGTATCATTTTTGGCCACTGGATAGACCATCTTTTGCTTATTCAAGTCTTTTTTGCCCATTTATTGTCTATTTTTATAAGATAAATAATATTTTAATGTGAAATTGTAGAAAAACACAATCTCAGAATAAAGATTGTCAATTTTTTTTTTTTTTTTTCTTGAGACAGTTTTTCTCCTGTTGCTCAGGCTGGAGTGCCATGGTGTGATCTCAGCTCCCTGCAACCTCTGCTTCCTGGGTTCAAGCAATTCTCCTGCCTCAGCCTCCTGAATAGCTGGGATTACAGGTGTCTGCCACCATCCCTGGCTAATTTTTGTATTTTTGGTAGGGATGGGGTTTCACCATATTGACCAGGCTGGTTTCGAACTCCTGACCTCAGATGATCCACCTGCCTCAGCCTCCCAAAATGCTGGGATTACAGGTGTGAGATTGTCTATTTCTTAACAATTTTTAGAAGGTTTTTTATTTTTGTTTTTAATATGCTGTAGATACAAGTCCCTCATGGAGCTGGATCTTCCCCCTCCCCATCCGTCTGTGGCAAATATTTTATCTCAGTCTGTGTCTTGCCTTTTCATTATCTCAATGATATTTTAATGACCAAAAGCTGTTATTCTTTTAAAGAAAGAAAATGGGGATTTCTTAAAGATATATTAAAATAAAAAACTGGTAAATTTTTAAATAACGAAGACATACATTTACATTCGAGAATAGTGTAACTTACATTTGTTAAAGGTAACTTGTTGTTTTATACCTGCTTCATTGTTGAAAAGAAAAACAGGATTTGACCTTATAGTTTGGAGAACTAATTCATTTTTTAGTTGTTTAAGAATATTAATTATTTAAAAATATTCTTTATTAAGTTTTTATCATTTTAATTTTAGATATTAAGGATGAAAATGAAACAATACTGAATCCTGAAGAGGTAGCTTTTCTAGAGGAATATATTCCTACTCGACATACAAGTGTTACTCTCCTCAAATGTACCTGCACAATTTCCATGGCTGAATTCAACTTGCTGGACCATTTGCTACCTGTCATTATGGGAGAAAAGGTATATTTTGTGATTTGCTATATTTTTCCCCCTCATATATGGATTTTTTTTTTTTTGTCATTTATTGAAAGAATATCTGCAGTTGGGCACAGTGGCTTGAGCCTGTAATCCTGGAAATTCAGGAGGCTGGGGTAGGATACATACTTGAGGCCAAGAGTTTGAGACCAGCCTAGGCCACATAGCAATCAATACCTTGTCTCTAAAATAAAATAAAATAAAATAAAATAAAATAAAATAAAATAAAATAAAAAGTTAGGCATGGTGGCACATGCCTGTATTCCCAGCTCTCCAGGAGGCTGAGGTGGGAGGACTGCTTGAACCCAGAAGTTTGAGGCTGCAGTGAACTATGATCACGCCACTACACTTCAGCCTGGGTGTCACAGTGTGACCCTGTCTCAAAAAAAAAAAAGAAAAAGATAGAAGTGTCTGCTTATATAGTTATCCATGATGAAGTAAAAGCAATGTAACTATGAACTAAAAATTAACTATGTTAATTTTTAAAATGTAATTTTACATTTATATTTTTAATAAAATAAACTTGAGCTTGAGGGTGTATAAAGAAATGTTGAAGAATATGGGTGTAGAAGTCAGACCGTATACCAGCTATAATGCCACAGACAATTACTTTATATCTCTAAGCCTTGTTTTCCTCTTCTCAGAAAGAGAACAATTATATTTTTTCAAGCAGACTGACTATTTTAGTTTTAGCCAGTAAAACTGTCAGCCTGCCTAGATTCAGACAGTTTATTACTTACATAGACAGCAGAAGCAAAGTCAGTAATGGTGCAAGCTCCCCTGTCCCTTGTTCCATAGGACAACCTGTAACCAAAGGGCCAAATGACTTCTATTGGTATATCGTGGGGCACCCTGTTGGCAACAATTCAGTTTCATACTGCAGCTAAGCAGTGGTGTAGCTTAGCTTACGTCGAAAGCCCATAACTCAGCTGAATGAGGAATGCTGATGAGACACTGTTTCATGGCAGCCTCTCTCAAGATGGGAAGGTGAATGAGAAATGCTCTTTTAGCAGCTCCTCACAAGACCACATATTATCCTCTGTTTTTAGGGTATCACAGGATATTCTACCAAGATCTGCTGTGGTTGAGTATTGCCTTCATGGCATGGATTTGTATAACATTATCAGGATGCTGGTACAGACCAGTCCCACCACAGTACTTAGCTCCTAGGATTATTTTAAATATTCATTGAAATAATGTATGTAAACTATTTTGCATGTATTAGGAACTGAGTGATGTCTGCCATAATTGTTGAGAATGCTTAATATTTGTTCATGGTCCATGTACAATGTGTTGCTTTCTGAATTTAACTTATACATACAAGGCCTTATTTGTTTGTTTGCTTTTTGAGACGGACTCTTGCTCTGTTGCCTAGGCTGGAGTGCAGTGGTGAAATCTCGGCTCACTGCAACCTACGCCTCCTGGATTCATGCAACTCTTCTGTCTCAGACTCCTGAGTAGCTTGGACTATGGGTGCATGCCACCACGCCCGACTAATTTTTATATTTTTAGTAGAGACAGGGTTTCACCATATTGGTCAGGCAGGTCTTGAACTCCTGACCTCAGGCGATCCACCCGCCTCAGCCTTCCAAAGTGCTGGGATTACAGGCATGAGCCACCACACCCGGCCTATCTGTCTTTTTTGGGATATATTTCTTTTGATGTTCGTATAATGATCAGGGTCCCCAACTCCTGAGATGTGGACCAATACTGGTTAGTTGCCTGTTAGGAGCCGAGTTTCAGAGGAGGTGGTGAGTGGTGGGTGAGCGAGCATTACCACCTGAGCTGTGCCTCCTGTGAGATCAGCGACGGCATTCAATTCTCATAGGAGCACAAACTCTACTGTGAACTGTGCTTGCAAGGGATCTAGGTTGGCACTCCTTATGAGAATCTAATACCTAATGACCTGAGGTGGAACAATTTCATTCTGAAGCCATACCCCTTCTCCTGTCTGTGGAAAAATTGTCTTCCATGAAACTAATCCTTGATGCCAAAAAGGTTGGTGTCCGCTGATAGTGATGACCATAGAAATAAAAAGTGTCCTAACTGTAAAGAAGAAGTTATGTGAGGGAATTAACTATATGCATTAACTTTATTTTTGCTCCCTATTGGCCACTCATAATTAAGTATGGCAGTGTATTATGATTAAGAGATCATGTAGAGAAAATTTCACTGGAGACAATTAAAATATGTCTGCGTTTTATCATTTCTGTTTTTGCTATCATCTGATTTTTTTAAATAGATACTATTTTTTAGAGTAGTTTTAGATTCACAAAGCAGAGTGAAAGTGGTACAGAGATTTTTCATAAACTCACCCCCCCACATACATAGCTTCCCCCATTGTCAACATCCCTCAACAGAATAGTATATTTGTTATAATTGATGAACCTATATTGACACATCATTATCACCCAGAGTCCACAGTTTATATTAGGGTTCACTCTTGGTGTTTTATGTTCTATGAGTGTTGACTCATGTATAATTATCTACTATGGCAATATCACATAGAGTAGTTTCAATTCCCAAAAAATCCTTTGTGCTCTGCCTATTCATCTCTTCTCCCTAACCACTGGCAACCACTGATCTTTTTACTTTCCTCACAGTTTTGCCTTTTCTAGACTGTCATATAGTTGGAATCATATAGTATGTAGCCTTTTCACATTGGCTTCTTTTACTTAGTAATATGGATTTAAGGTTCCTCTTTGGCTTTTCATGACTTGATAGCTGATTTCTTCTTTGCACTTACTAATACTCCATTATGGATGTACCACAATTTGCTTATCCATTCACCTACTGAAGGACATCTTGGTTGCTTTCAAGTTTTGAGAGTTGTGAGTAAAACAGGCATATACATCCATGTGCAAGTTTTGGTGTGGGCATGTTTTCAACTCCTTTGGGTAAATACCAAGGAGTGTGATTGATGGACTGTATGCTAAAAGTATGTTTAGTTTTGTAAGAAGCTGCCAAATTGTCTTCCAAAGTGGCAGTATGATTTTGCATTCCTGCCAGGAGTGAATAAGAGTTCCTGTTTCTACACAGCCCTACCAACATTTGATGTTGCTAGTGCTTCGGTTCTTTGTCATTCTAAGACATGTGTAATGGTGTCTCGTTGTTTTTAGTTTTATTTCCTTGATGACATATGGTGTGGAACATCATTTCATATGCTTATTTGCCATCTGTATATCTTCTTTGGTGAGGTATCTCTTCAGATCTATTCCCCATTTTTTAAGAGTTGTTTGTTTTCTTAATATTGAATTTTAAGGATTCCTTGTACATTTTGGGTAACAGTCCTTTATCAGATAGGTCTTTTGCAAATATTTTCCCCCAATCTGTGGCTTGTCTTTTAATTTTCTTGTATTTTGCAGAGCAGAAATTGTGAAATTTTAGTGAAGTCCTGCTTATCAATTCTTTGTTTTATAGATTGTGCCTCTGGTGTTATATCTAAAAGTCATCACTATACCCAAGGTCATCAGCTTGTATCTTTTAAGAATTGGTCCATCTCATCTAGGTTATCAAATTTGTAGGCATAGAGTTTATAGTATTTCTTTCTTTTTTTTTTTGAGACGGAATTTCACTTTTGTTGCCCAGGCTGGAGTGCAATGGCATGATCTCGGCTCACAGCAACCTCTGCCTCCTGGGTTCAAGCGATTCTCCTTGCTCAGCCTACTGAGTAGTTGGGATTACAGGCATGCGCCACTATGCCTGGCTAATTTTGTATTTTTAGTAGAGACGGGGTTTCTCTGTGTTGGTCAGGCTGGTCTTGAACTCCCAACCTCAGGTGATCTGCTCACCTTGGCGTCCCAAAGTGCTGCGATTATAGGCGTGGGCTACCGCACCTGGCCTGTCTTTAGTATTTTAAAAATTATCATTTTAGTGTCTTTGGAATTCGTAACAATGTTCCTCTTTCATTTCTAACATTAGGATTTGTATCCTCTTACTCTTTTTCTCAACCTGGCTAGAGAGGCTTATACTGATTTTTATTGAGCCAGCTTTTGGTTTTGTTTCTCTGTTGATTCTGTTCTCTGTTTTCAATTTCATTGATTTCTGTTTTGATTTTAATTCTTTTCTTCTTATTTTGGATTTATTTAATTTCCTAAAGTGTAAGCTTAGGTGATTGATTTTAGATTTTCCTTTTTTGTAATATATGAACTCAATACTATAAACTTCCCTCTAAGCATTGCTTTCACTACACGCTACAAATTTTGATAAGTTGGATTTTTGTTTTCATTTAATTCAAAGTATTTTTTATTTCTCTTGAGATTTTTTTCTTTGACTTGTGTTCTTTAGAAGTATGTTTTTAAATCTCCAAATATTTTGACATTTTTTAGTTATGTTACTGATTTTTAGTTTAATTCCATTATGGTCTGATAGCAGACATTGTATGATTTCTTTTAAATTTGTTTAGGTGTGTTTTATGGCTTAGAATGTGTCTGTGTTGGTGACTATTCTATGTAAGCTTTAGAAGAATGTGTACTCTGTTGTTGCTGTATGAAGCAGTCCACTGATGTGTATTATATCTGGTTGATTATAAATTCAATTATGTCCTTACTGATTTTCTGTCTGTTGGAACTAATTATATCTGATAGAGGGATATTGAAGTCTCCAACTAAAATAGTGGGTTTGTCGAGTTTTTTCCCTGAAATTTTATCACTCTTTGCTTTATGTATTTTGACACTGTGTCTTTAGGCACATCCATGTTAGGGACCGATGTCTTTTTACAGAATTGACACCTTTATCATTACTTAATCCCTTCTTTATCTCTGATTGCTTTCCCTGGTCTGATTTTTGTTCTGTCTGAAATTAATATAGCCATTCCACTCTCTTTTGATTAGTTTTAGTATGGTATGTGTTTCTCTATTTTCTTTTAATCTACACATGTCTTCATATTTAAAGTGGGTTTTGACTGGGTGTGGTGGCTCATGCTTGTAATCCCAGCGCTTTGGGAGGCAGAAGTGGACTGATCGCTTGAGCCCAGAAGTTTGAGACCAACTTGGGTGAAACCCTGTCTCTACAAAAAAATACAAAAATTAGCTAGGCATGCTGGTGTGTGTCTGTAGTTCCAGCTACTTGGGAGGCTGAGTTGAGAGGATCACCTGAGCCCTGGAGGTTGAGGCTGCAGTGAGCCATGATCGCACCACTGCACTCCAGCCTGGGTGACAGAGTGAGACCCTGTCTCAAATAAGTACATATGAAATTTTTTTTTAAAAAGTAGGTTTTTTTTCATAGACAATATATAGTTGGGTCTTGTATCTTTAGCTGCCTTGACAATCTGTCTTTTAATTGATGCATTTAGACCATTGATAAGAAGTTATTATTGATGTAATTGGACTAATATCAACCATACTTCTTGCCATTTTCTAGTTTTTGCCCTTGTTATTTGTTCCTGATTTTATCTTCCACTCTTTTTTGGCCTTTTGTGGTTTAAATGAGCATTTCATATTATTTGATTTTCTCTCCTCTATTAACCTACCTGTTATACTTCTTTTTAGTGTTTGTCCTAGAATTTGCATTATATTTTTACAGCTAATTCAAGTCCACTTTCAAATAACACCATACCACTTTACAGGTAGTCAGAGTTTCTTATAGTAAAAGAAATACTAATTCTGCCATCCTGTTTCTTGTATCATTGCTGTAATTCATTTTACTTTTATGTAAGCATTCATAAGCCTGCTACACACAATCATACATAATTAAATACATATTACTGTTATTATTTTGACCAAATTTATTAGATCAATTAAGAATAATAAAAATTAAAAGTCTTTTTTTTTTTACCTTTTGCCTTTTCTGATGCTTTTTTTTTTTAATATAGATGTGAAATTCTGACCTTTATCATTTTTCTTCTCTCTGAAGAATTTTTTTTTAACACTTCTAATAAGGCAGATATACTGGAAACAAATTCTCTGAATTTTTTTTTTTTTTTTTTTTGTCTGAGAAAGTCTTTTTCTCCTTTTGAAGGATAATTTCATGGAGTATGGAATTCTAGGTTTGTAGGTTTTTTTCCTCTTAAAATACTTTATTTTACTCTCTTCTTGCTTACGTCATTTTTGAGTGGCGGTCAAGTGTAATTCATATCATTGCTCCTCTATAAGTAAGATGTATTTTTTTCTGTGGATTTTTTTGGGGGACTTTATCTTTGATTTCTATGATTTGAAAATGATGTGTCTGTGTGTGGGATTTTTTTTTTTTTTTCATTTATCCTGCTTGGTGTTCTCTGAGTTTCCTGGGTTTCTGGTTTGGTGTCTGACATTAATTTGAGGAAACTCTCAGTCATTATTGTTTCAGATGTTTCTTCCGTTTCTTTCTCTCTTTTCTTCTCTTGTGGAATTCTTATTACGTGTATGTTACATCTTTTGTAGTTGTCCCACAGTTCTTAAATATTCTGGGGTTTTTTGGGTTTGCTTTTCAGTTTTGGCAATTTCTACTGAGATACCTTCAAGCTTAGAGATTCTTTTGTTCGCCATGTCTGGTCTTCCAGTATGCCTGTCAAAGGGAAAAATGCTAACAAGGAGACCTTACTCAGATGGCAGCCCACAAATTTGTATAAAATTTCATTTAGATTGTTGGCTAGTTCCTAAGCTGCCCGTGTGTAATGCAAGACTTCAGGAAACGCAGCAGAAAGCAAAGTATAAATTTGACTATTTGCATGGTACTGTGCATCTGCAATTAGAGTTCAGGCACTGCCACGTTAGCACCTGGGCCTTCCTTTGAGACCTCATAAGGGCCACACCGTAGGAATAAATACAGATTGAAATAGATTAGTCTAAGAAAGCCTAATTCCAGTCCTGAATAGGACCATGATGATATACTTGTATTCTGTTTGCTTGCCAAATAATAGTTAACTTACTTTAGGGGAAGATAGCATTATCAAAGCCATTATAATTTTTTATCCATGATGTTATCTGCTTGATACAAAATTATGAGGTATACTAAAAATAGAACCAATTGAATTAAATATAAAAAATCAGTAATATAAATAGACTTAGAGATGATTAAGGTATTAGAGTTGTTAGACATGGACTTTATGGTTAATTGCTTAAGGAAAAAGGCAAAAAGGTGGAAGATTTCCAGAGAGACCTCAATCCATTAAAAAAAGCACCAAATTAAATTGTGAAACTGGAAAATGTAAGGATACAGGTTTGAAGGAAAAGGATGGAAAAAATATACCATTTAAATGCTAACCAGAAGAAAGATAGCCTGGCTGTTTTACTAAGAGATAAAGTTGATTTTAAGGTAAGAAGTATTACTACAAATAAAGAGAGCCACTTCATAATGATAAAAGTGTGAACTGAAAGAAAGAACAACACAGATAATTCTCACAGGTGTAATCTTGAGTGAAAAATTATATACCATGTGATTTCATTTATATGAAGTTCAAGAAAAGAGAAAACTAATCTGTGGCGATTGAAGTGATTAGCTACGTCTGTTGAGGATTTAGTATTGCCTTGAAAGGGACATGGCACAGCCTTGTAGGGTGCTTCAGATGGGTGGTGGTTACAGATGTAAAAATTCATTCAGCTCTAACCTTCAGATTTGTGTGCTTTATTCTGTGTTATTTTTAGTAATCCCAAAGAAAATCACTTAAAAAAGCAACGTAATTCCTAAATAAATGGTGGTTTTAAAATTATTGGTAATGAGTAAAAAATCAGGATTGTATTTTCAACTTAGTTTTAAGCACAGTGATTCTCAGTAATGGCACTTTTGGTTTTTTGGATTGGAGAATTATTATGTAGCATTTACCATCTTTGGCCAATACCTGCTAAAGGCCAATATTATTGTAACAATGAAAGACAGACAAAGCAATGAAACTGCTCTTCTTGCATTTTTTCTTATTCTTCTGGATGGAAAGTCATGGTGTTCCTCATTGAGAACCACAGGTAGAGCATTTTAAGGGAGTGAGTGAGTGAGTTCTAGGATGGGTCATTTGCCACTCAGCGTACATACGCTGGACATCTTGAAACTTACCTGTATTTATTTGAAAGCTCAGAAAGATTCTGTAAAACTGAGAATACTGTGCCATCCTCAAGATTCTTAGGACTTTGTGAGCCCTTAACATGTGTATTGTTAGTAGATATGGTACAGATCAGGAATTTTTCTTTCCTGCAAACATTGCTTATGGTGAATGTTTTTGACATAGTGTGGGATAGTCCATTTAGTTCCTTAGTCAGCTAAATGTGAATAAAAGAGATTAAAATAAAATATGCTGACTCTTGGATATATAGATACATTTTGGAATAATTAAGCTTAATACAATATCTTCATCATACTGAGGCATGTAGTGATACTATTCTAGTTGACTGAGAAAGAAAAAAAACTTGAACTGAAAGGGCAATGATAAATTTGCAAAAAATATGCATTCTTTGAAGTCTGGGACATATTTAATATATATAGAAAGACATTTGTTATTTGGTTATGGCAAGAGAGTTCTGTAGAAAGGCATCATTTCTAGATTGATTGGATATCACTGCAAATGTGCAGATCTGAAGCGTGTATAGAGGGAATTGCAACTCAGTCACTGCTCCACTTTTAAAATATAAAGCGAACACTTTTATTTTCTAGAACTCAAGTAACTTCATGAACACTACAAACTTCCAGTCTCTTCGGCCTTTGCCATCCATTCGAATATTGGTGGATAAAATTAATGTGGAACATTCAGTGCCGATGTATGCTGAACAGTTGGTGCATGTGGTCAGCAGCCTTACTCAGCCTTCTGATAACCTGCTTCATTATTGTTATGTACACTGCTATCTTAAGGTATGAAAAGTGAATTTTCTTGTTTGTTAGCATGGGTTTGGCTGTGGGATCATCACATAAGTTTCTTTTTTCTTGATGTTGTAATTTCAGAGAAATAGTACTCTAAAAGGTAAGATTTAAATAAGAAATAAGATTTATTCCAATAAATTAAAATAAGTAATAAAAATATACTTATTTTAAAGATTTCTCAATTTTGTGAGATTAGTAGCTTGATATTTATAAATGAATAGTTAATTATAACTTTTGAATGATTTTACTTATCATTGATGGTAATTTTTATAAGCAATGTGAAAGAGCACTCAGTTTAATATGGATGCTTTGAAGACTCATGCTTTTTTGAAGGGAGCATTTATGTGAGGCATAATGAGGCATAAAGAGGGCTTAAAACTTTTTTTTGTCACCTTTATTTAATTCATGTTAATTTATTGATGCAAGGACAATTTATTTTATATACAGACATATGCCATTTTATCATGCATTACTTTATTGTACTTCATAGTAATATTGTGTGTGTGTCTGTGTTTTAACAAATTGAAGGTTTGTGGCAGTCTTGCATTAAGCAAAGCTTTGGTGCCATTTTTTCAATAACGTGCTCACTTCGTGTCTCTGTGTCATATTTTGGTAATTCTCCCAATATTTCACAAGTTTTCATTATTATTTTAGCATTGTGATCTGTCATCACTGTTCTTTGATGTTACTATTGTAATTGTTTTTCGGGTACCAAGAAGTACACCCATTTAAGATGGTGAACTTAGTAAATGTTGTGTGTGTTCTGGGTCCTCCACTGACCAGTTCCCCCTTCTCCTTCCCTTATCCTAATCCTTGAGACACAACAATATTGAAGTTAAGCCAATTAATAGCCCTACAATGACCTGTAAATGTTCAAGTGAAAGGAAGAGTCCCATAACTCTACTTTAAATCAAAAGCTAGAAGTAATTAAGCATCGTGAAGAAGGCGTGTCAAAAGCCAAGATGAGGCCTGAAAGCTAAGCCTGTTTTGCAAAACAGCCAAGTTGTGAATTGAAAGGAAAAGTCTCCAGGAAATTAAAAGTGCTACTCCAGTGAACACAGGAATGACAAGAAAGTGAAATAGCCTTATTGTTGTTATAAAGTTTGAGTGGTCCAGATAGCAGATCAAACCAGTTACAACATTCCCTTAAATGAAAAGCAAGGCCCTAACTCTCTTCAATTCTGTAAATGCTGAGAGACTTGAGAAAGCTGCAGAAGAAAAATTTGAAGCTAGCAGAGGTTGGTTCATGAAGTGTAAGAGAAGCCATCTCCATAACATAAAAGTGCAAGGTGAAACAGCAAGTGCTGACCTAGAAACTAGAGCAAGTTATCCATATCTAGCTCAATTAATTGATGAAGGTGGCTACACTAAACAGATTTTCAATGTAGACGAAATACCTTCTCTTGGATGAAGATGCCATCTAGGACTTACATAGCTAGAGAGAAGTCAATGCTTTGCTTCAAAACTTCCAAAGGCGGCCGGGCACGGTGGCTCATGCCTGTAATCCCAGCTCTTTTGGAGGCTGAGGCGGGCGGATCATGAGGTCATTAGATTGAGACCAGCCTGGCCAACATGGTGAAATCCCATCTCTACTAAAGATACAAAAATATTAGCTGGGCGTGATGGTGTGTGCCTGTAATCTCAGCTACTCAGGAGTCTGAGGCAGGAGAATTGCCTGAACCTGGGAGGCAGAGGTTGCAGTGAGCCAAGATCAGGTCATTGCACTTCAGCCTGGGTGAGAGGGCAAGATGCTGACTCTCTCATTAGGGGCTAATGTACCTGGTGACTTTTTAAGTTGAAGATAATGCTCATCTACCATTCTGAAAATCCAAAGTGCCTTAAGAATTATGCTAAATCTTCACTGCTTATGCTCTATAAATGAAACAATAAAGCCTAATGATAGTACATCTGTTTACGGCATGGTTTACTAAATATTTTGTCTGTGGAGACCTACTGCCCAGAAAAGACGCCTCTTAAAATATTAGCACTCACGGACAATGCTCCTGGTCACCCTACACCTTTGATGAAGATGTACAGGGAGATGCACATTGTTTTCATGCCGTTAACATGATATTCATTCCATAGCCTGTGGATCAAGAGTAATTTTGACTCTGGTCTTATTATTTAAGAAATATATTTTGTAAGGCTTATAGCTACCATAGATAGCGATTCTTCTGAAAGACCTGGGCAAAGCAAATTGAAAACCTTCTGGAAAGATTCATCAATCTAGATGCTATGCTATTAAGAATATTTATGATTCATAGAAGGAGGTCAAACTATTTACATTAACAAGAGTTTGGAAGAAGTTGATTTCAGTCCTCATGGATGACTTTGAGGGGTTCAAGCCTTCCATGGAGGAAGTAACTGCAGATGTAATGGAAACAGCAAGAGAACTAGAATTGGTTTCTGAAGATATGACTGAATTGCTGCAATCTCATGATAAAACTTGAATGGAGGAGGAGTTGCTTCTTATGGATAAGCAAAGAAAGTGATTGCTGGAGATGGCAATTACTCCTGGGGAAGATGCTGGGAGTATTGTTAAATGATTACAGAGAATTTAAAAAGTTCTGTAAACTTGGTTGATAAAGCAATGGCATGGTTTGAGAGGATTGACTCCAATTTTGATAGAAGTTTTACTACTGGTAAAATGCCATCAAACCTCAATTAATCATCATTGCCTGCTATGGAGAAATCTTTCATGAAAGGAAGAGTTAATCAGTATGGCAAACTTGATTGTTATCTTATTTTTAGAAATTGCTGCAGCTACCCCCACCAATTTTAGCAACCATCATCCTGATTAGTAAGCAGCCATGAACATCAAGGCAAAAAGGTTATTACTTGCTGAAGGTTGAGATGGTCATTAGCATTTTTTAGCAATAAAGTATTTTTTGTAAGGGGTGGGGGCAGGGTCTTACTCTGTCACCCAGCCTGGCATGCAGTGGCACGATCTTGGCCCACTGCAACCTCCACCTCCTGGGCTCAAGCGATTCTCCCATCTCAGTTTCCCAGGTACTGGGACCACAGGTGCATATCCCCATGCTCAGCTAATTTTTTATATTTTTGGTAAGATGGGGTTTTACCGCATTGCCCAGACTGGTCTCGAATTCCTGAGCCTTGCTTCCCAAAGTGCTATGATTACAGGTGTGAACCACTGTGCCCAGCCAACAAAGTGCTTTTTATTTAAGGTATATAAGTTTTTTTTTTTGACATAATGTTATTGCACACTTAATAGACTACAGTATAAATGTATACATAACTTTTATTATATGTACTGGGAAACCAAAAATTTTTGTGATATTTGTTGTATTGTGGTGATGTGGAACTTGCAGTATCTCCTGGATATGTCTATCTGGTTATGTAAAGTGAATTATTGGTAGCTTTTCCCAGTTCTTTCATTTTTTAAAAAATAAGTAAGACATCCAATGCAGGTATGTACAAACAATAACCTCAAATGTTGAACAATACATGTTTTAGCTAAGCAAACAGGGATGTATGGTTTAAGTAGAAATAGTGTGTACACAATCACTTCTGTTTTGTGAGCAAAAGAAAACTATAAAAAGTTGAATTTCAGAATCAGTACTGGCTGGGCATGGTGGCTAACACCTGTAATCTCAGCACTTTGAGAGTCTCAGGTGGGTGGATCACTTGAGCCCAGGGGGTCGAGACCCCCCTGAGCAAAGTGGTGAAACCTGATCTCTACAAGAAATACAAAAATTAGCCAGGCGTTGTGGTTGCATGCCTGTAGTGCCAGCTACCTTGGAGGCTGAGGTGAGAGATTTGCTTGAGCCCAGGAGGTCAAGGTTGCAGTGAGTTGTGATGGCGCCACTGCACTCCAGCTTAGGCAACAGAGTGAGACCCTGTCTCAAAAAAAAAAAAAAAAAAAAAAAAGTACTAAGAAACACTGCTTTTCATGTAATGTATCAAAAGATTAGAGGACTCCACAAATAGGCTCTTGGCCTAATTAGTTTATTTGAAGTTTTAAAGTTTTTAAGTATTTGTGTATCTATAACGCAGAAATAAACCAATTTCAAGATACCAGTTTTAGATCACCTGCAGGTGTATATAAATGTAAGATATTAACATTAGACTGTTGTCAAACCATGCAGACTAGAAGAACATGTTTTCTTGGTTGTTTTTGCAAAGCCTTTTTTCTCAAGGCTGGCTCCTTTGGTGGAAGAACAACAGATCATGTTGCAAAAGGGTGTAGACACAGGGAAGTGTGACTCATTGGGGCCTTTATTTTAGTGATCTACCATAATGTTTTATGTCATATGGAGAGTAGCAGAGATATTTTTAAAACCTAGATATAAAGATTATAAATGTACTTTATACTTTACAATGCTGTATACTTTACAATTTTCAGATTCAATGCTTTATACTTAAGCTTTTTAATTTATTGTCATAATTAATACATAGAAGTGGACAATTTTAAAAAATACTGGTACAACCTTCGTATCAGATTACAATGTTAAGAATATTTGCTTTGTTTTTTCATGTCAATAATATATTTTATTTAACCCAATATATGCAAGTATCAGTTAATATGCAGTCAACATAACACATTGACATTCGGCTTATAGATAAATAAAGTGTGTCTCTATACAGAAGGAGGATGTTCACCAAAACCATTGGTTGTCACTATAGTCACCATCCATACTGACATAAAATTTATTGGAATAGTTCTTTACCATTTCTACTTGTCAATATGTTAAAACTCATATTTCCAGTGTAATGTAAAAGTTATTTACAGTGTACTGCCGATATAGTTATATTTTGGATAAAGAGCCTTTGCTACACATGCTGTCTAGTTTTCTTTTATATTTTGGCCTGGTTGAATACAGTCATAATGGTTAAGTTTAATGTCTCAACAAGTGAAGTGTTAGGCAAAGTGGGAATAGCATAATGTGTGTAGGAAAACCATTCACTAGTGTTAAGAGTACTAAATCCTTTTTTTTTTTGAGACAGAGTCACACTCTGTCTGGAGTGCAATG